ACACTTAACCGCTAAGCCACGGGGCCGGCCCCTGTACTGAATGTTTTTATTCCCCCAAAATTCATATGTTGAAGCCCCAACCCCCAACATGATGGTATTTGGAGATGGGGCCTTTGGGAGGTAACTAGGCTTAAACGAGGCCATGAGAGTGGGGCCCTCATGATGGGATTAGTGTCCTTATAAGAAGAGGAAGAGACCAGAGTTTGCTCTCTCTCTGCTAAGTGAAAACACAGAGAGAAGGCAGCCGTTTACAAGCCGAGAAGAAAGCTCTCACTAGAACCTGACCATGCTGGCACGCTGATCTCAGACTTCCCGCCTCCAGAACTGTGAGAAATAAATTCCTGTTGTTTAAGCCACCAGTCTGTGGTATTTTGTAATGGCAGCCCAAGCAGACTAAGACAATGGTGGACTAGAAAGCTACAGGCCCTCCTTCCCTGACAGAAACACTGAGTTGAAACAATATACAGACTAGAATACCTCTGTGAGAACTCTAGAGACCAACTGAGAAGCTACAGCACCCAGGACACTGTATAACCACAAAGGGATTCCAGTGAATGGGGTAGGAATAGTCATGGCATTTAGTGCACCCACTTGTGTCCCTTCCCCTATGCAGCATAGCACGGAGCAACCGAGCGGAAATCCCCTTACTGGGGCTTCTCCCTTGAGATGGAAACTAAAGAGTGGACCATGCATCCAATGTTCTGGTTTCTCTAGCGGTTGCTTGAGAGGCTGGTTTCTGTCTCACGAAACTCAGAGCATTGATGGGACTGGGGCCAGAGTTTGGAAGCCATTGAAAACAGAGGCAAGCGCACATTAGAGCTGCAGTTCTGCAGACAGATGCCAAGGGGAGCAAGAAATCATAACCGGTTTGAGAGGTCTCAGAACTTCCAGATGGGCAGATTGGTGGTCTTCCCCTGCATGAAGCCAGTATGCAAAGACTGGGAAAGCTGTTTGTTCTTTCAAATACCCAAATCCCAGCAAAAAATTACAAGGCATACAAAGAAAGAGAAATTTCTTCCAATCAAAGGACCAAAATAAACTACAGAAACCAACTTCAAAGAAACACAGATCTATAAGCTGCCTGACAAAGAATTTAAAATAATGGTCATAAAGATGCTCAATGAGCTAAAAGAGAACACAGATGCACAACTAAACAAACTCAGGAAAATGATGCATGAACAAAATGAGAATATCAGAAAGAGATAGAAGCTATAAAAAAAGAACCAAACAAGGGCTGGCCCTGTGGCACAAGTGGTTAAGTGCTCGCACTCCGCTGCGGCGGCCCAGGGTTTGCTGGTTCGGATCCCGGACGCGCACTGATGCACCGCTTGTTGAGCCATGCTGTGGCGGCGTCCCATATAAAGTAGAGGAAGATGGGCACGGATGTTAGCCCAGGGCCAGTCTTCCTCAGCAAAAAAAAAGAGGAGGATTGGAAGATGTTAGCTCAGGGCCGATCTTCCTCACCAAAAAAAAAAAAAAAAAAAGAACCAAACAAATTCTGGAGGTGAAAAATACAGTAACTGAACCGAAAAATTCGTTAGAGGGGTTCGACTTGAAGACAGGTCATTTGAAATCATCGAGTCAGAGGAGCAAAAAGAAAACTGAATGAAAAAAAACGAAGAGAGCCTAAGGGACTTATGGGACATTAACAAGCAGGCCAATATATGCATTATGAGAATCCCATAAGGGGAAGAGAGAGAGAGGGGAGCAGAGAGCTTATTTGAAGAGGTGGAAGCAACCCAAATGTTGCAACCCAAATGTCCATCAATGGATGAATGGATAAACAAAATGTGGCACATACACACAATGGAATACCATTCAGCCTTAATAAAGAAGGAAATCCTGTCACATGCTGCAGCATGGATGAACTTGGAGGAGATTATGCTGAGGGAAATAAGCCAGTCCTAAAAAGGACAAATAATGTTGAATTCCACTTACAAGAGGTATCTAAAGTAGTCAAATTCATAGAAACAGAAAGTAGAATGGTGGTTTCCAGGGGTTGGGGTGAGGGAAAAACGGGCAGTTGTTATTTAATGGGTATAGAGTTTCAGTTTTGTGAGATGAGAAAGCTCTGAAGATCTGTTTCACAGCATTGTAAATATACTTAACACTACTGAAGTGTACAATTAAAATGGGTTAAGATAGTAAATTTTATGTTGTGTTTTTTACCACAATTAAAAAAATAAAAAAACAATATTCATTTTCATGAACTCATAAGACATTTTCAGTTGATATAGATCTTTAGCCATGTAGTCCCAATTTCTCCTTTCACATATTAGGAAATTGAGACCCAGAAATATTAAGTAACTTGTCCAATGTCACATACTTAGTGACAGAGTTGAGACATGAAGTCATGTCTTCATGTTCTTACGTTGCTTCCACTCACTCATGCTACTCCATTACAGGCCAATTTCTTAGAAAAACCCAGACCAGGTTCTCACCAGAATCTTCTTCCAAGAAATAAGAAAAACACTAACTGGGTAACAAATGGGGCTAGGGAAAAGTGAAGAATTTAGGGAAAAAATAGGGAAATCAAATAATCAGTCTGAAAAGACCTCTGCTTTCAGAGTGATATATAGTATATTAGGGATTTTAGACTCAAAGATCTGATTTGTCAATTATAATCAAGTTTGAATCTATTTCCAGAATTACTTGGAATGCTAGAGTGGTAATGAGATGTCAGTTGTCACTCTACAATGGAGTTTAAATGGCAAGCACTCCAAAACTAAGTACTTCATTTCCTCTGAAGCTATTGTCTGTGTTTAGAAAAGCTTTCAACAGGTAGACAGCCCGGCTAATGTAAAGATATGCAGATTTTCCCACTCATTTCATGTAAGTTACTCAGCCAAAGAAGGCATCTGACTGTGGATATAATTACCACATCAGGAAAAAGGAGCAAAAGCTGAAATTGTTATCAGGTATTTTGGGGGCTTCAAAAATCCAAATTCACAGCTTATTGACAATAAATCTTGTTTCGAGTTTTTGCGAATCATATTGGTTTTTCAAAATTGAAAAAAATTATTGTAAATCCTCATAAATAAACATTATTCTAAAAATGCTATCATATTTTATTCCAGGTGTTTGCCTAACTACCTGTCTTTTATTCAGACCACGGTAGGCTTCTACGCTGATGACTTGTTTAAGGCAGAAATGTACTTAGCGTTTCTGGTTTGTCTTTATCTTCTGGTGAAGCTGACCTAAGGGGAAAATTCTGTGCCAGGGCATGAAATTACTGAAGTCTTCATTTTATGCTTGGTGCAGAAGCCAACTCCAGGTCCGAAGGATATTATTAAACCTAACTGGTCAACTTATATATATTAGAATGGAAAGTTACGGAGTAGAAGAATTAATCTCCAAGGGATCAATTAGAAAAATATAATAATTTTCTGTACTTTGTGTTCTTTAGTTCTACAAGAGATAATTTTAACCTTAGCCAAGCAAGTACTACTTATTTGTGCTGAGAATACAAAAAAAATTATAACAATAGAAGATAAAGGAGAAAAAAACTGAACAGAATTTTTCATTATATTTGAAAATGTACTTGTAAAATAACAGAAATATGTCATTGAAAAACAATGTAAATGGAATTTCAGTGCCTTAGTGGAACTGTTATACCACTTGACAAACAAAAATTGATGTGTAAAATGAAGTAAAATGTGAAAATCCCTGATAAATGCAAAAATATGAATAGCTTGTCATCAATGTTAAACATATTTTAATTTTTTATAGCAAATTATTTGTATACTATTAATATAAGTAGAGTGGGGCTTTTAGCATTAAAATAGTGACTATATCAGGCACTGTCTATATACACAATAACCCACACATACATTTTGGAAATAATTTTTTAGCTGAAATCAGCCATTCTGTGCAGTTGATAATATGAGCTAAAATATCTGACTAGACATTTATAGGCAATGCAAACTGAAGGCAATTACTGAGAAATTCAAACTAAAAATAAATTTTTACTCAACTATCTAACCAATCACAATAACAATCTTATGGCTTTTAAAACTTTGACTATAATATAATAAGTATATTATATTCAAAAGATATTCAGAAGGTTAAGGTTGCATCTATACATAGAATAGCATCCTGTCCTATCGTGTGATTTGAGGAAAGCAGAGAAGTTCAGCTGTCCAAAGATACACCTATCATTTCTCTGCTGAGGAGTCTCTGAAGACTCTTTAGGAAGGAGATAGAGAAGGGAAACACAGAAGTTCATTATCAAAGATTATATATTATCAACCTAGCACAGTTTGTTGTTAGATTAGCTAGCCTAGCAGGTTGGAAGTTTCAAAGGGAATGGGACACTGAGTCAATATAGATATATATTTGGTTTTTTTTTTGTGAGGAAGATCAGCCCTGAACTAACATCCGTGCTAATCCTCCTCTTTTTGCTGAAGAAGACCTGCTCTGAGCTAACATCTATTGCCAATCCTCCTCCTTTTTTGTTTCCCCCAAAGCCCCAGTAGATAGTTGTATGTCATAGTTGCACATCCCTCTAGTTGCTGTATGTGGGACGCAGCCTCAGCATGGCCTGAGAAGCGGTGCGTCGGTGCGCGCCCAGGATCCGAACCTGGGCCGCCAGTAGCAGAGCACGCACACTTAACTACTAAGCCATGGGGCCGGCCCAGCCAATATATTTTTATTGTGGGGAAGGCTCTAGGAAAGGCTGAGTACATGGGGCTTTGCCAGGGAAAGCCAACCTAGATGGAACAGTTTAATTAGGGCACATTGGGAAACTGGATGATAGCTAGAGGACATTAGCAAGTTGAAAGAATATTGATGCCATGTACATATTACCTCCATTCTATTAATATTTTTGTCCCAATACAATGTCTGTTATAAAAAATACATATTTAGCCATCAAAATATAGATATATAAAGCATGCCTTTACATTTCCACGTCACTCAACACACTGTACTAATGATTAAGTATTCATTATGTTTTTACCTGTCAAATTCAGACTCAATTCTGGGTGATGTTTTGAATCTTCCTACTGGTGAGTGTCTTCGATATCTCCCTGATTGGCCATGAGATCTCTCTGACTGACCATGAGATCTCTCTGATAGGACATAAGATCTCTCTGATAGGACATGAGATCTCTCTGATAGGACATAAGATCTCTCTGATAGGACATGAGATCTCTTTGAGTGGTCATGATATCTCTCTGAGTGACCATGAAATCCCTCTGAGTGGCCACGAGATCTCTCTGAGTAGCCACGAGATCTCTCTGAGTAGCCATGAAATCTCCCTGATTGACCATGAAATTTCTCTGATTGGCCACAGGATCTTTCTGTGTGGCCACGAGATCGCTCTGATTGGCCACAAAATCTCTCTGATTGGCCATAAGATCTCTTTAATTGCCCTCGAGATCTCTTTGACTGACAATGAGATCTCTCTGAGTGGCCTTGAGATCTCTCTGAATGGTGTCGATTTTCTTCCCGTTGGCGTTGAGATCCTTCCGATTGATGCTGGTTCTTCTCTGATTGGCCTCCATTCCTCTCTGCTTGGGCCTTAGACTTGCCATTGCACTTATCCTGCAAAGAGCCGCAATTTTGTGAAACAAATGAAACATATACCCCATGATTTCATTGAATCATAATGATATTTTGTCAAGACCATTTCTATGGGCAACTATTTTTTTTAGAATACCACTGCCCCTACTTTTATAGACTAAACAGTTTTCAAAACTAATTTGCAGAAAGCTCTGATGTTTCATGTTGTTGGCATAAATAATATTATGCATATAAAACTTTAATAAAATGTTTAAAATATGGAAAATTAGTTGCTTTGCATATTTGAATATATTCCAAGGTCATGTTCTACTTATCATTTTCTGGATCTATGTTTTACCTAAAGGAACAATAGATTCTGTAACTTTATAGTTGAGGAGAGACAGAATATTTAATAATAATTTGCAGCACAAATCCTTAGAACAAAAGGAAAGTGTTCAAAGTCATACTATTTATTCTTCACCCTCTCAGGATCATTAAAAAGAAACTATCTCTTCAATATAAATTAATATTTAATTCTAGAGAGAAAGATAAATAAGTGAGGGGAAAGGTAGTTATAAAGAAAGCAGAAAGTTGTCTTAAAACTGTTCAAGTAAATTAGCCTGGCAAGAACTCAGCCTCTCTACCTTTTCAATTTTTAAACCAAAAGGGGAATGGAGTGAATAGCCAAATGGAAATAATGAAACCTTTGACAAATCTCTATGATGCTACATAAATGTAAGAGGATAAAGTCATATGAACTATGCTGAGAAATCAACCTTTCCACTAGTAAATATTGCCTGGCAAACAAAACATGCCCTAGATCTGGCATTGTGACTTTCTAGTATAACACTACCAGAAGCTGGAAGCAACTGTTAAAAGGCAGGGGAGGTATCTGCATAAAGAATATTATTCACATAAAACTTTAGTAAAATAAAAAATATGACAAACTTGTTGCTTTGCTAAAGCAAAAAACCCATAGTCACTGTCCAGCTTTTCTACTGTAAAACATAAATAAGAAGATTGGGTGGAAAGCACATGTACCTCTTCTTTTTTCTAAGTGACCAGTGTTGGGAGCATAGTGGTGAGTGAGCAGAAAGGATTGAGATTCATCTCCTAAAGACCCATATGCACCCAAGTACCTTTCTAAACGAGCTTGTAGTCTTTTTGCAAATGTTTATGTAAGAAATATTTTCATCAACTTAGATACTACAGATTTCTACCTTTAGAAAATGAAATACACATTAGTTTTCTTTCCTTATAAACAACAGAAACTCTCTATCAAAAAGAATTTTGTAGAATAAATACAATTGTGTCCTACTGATACTAAGATTAAATCTTGTGAAGTATAAAACTAGCTTATTAGGATTTAAAAGTATGATTGAAAATTGTTATTCAATTTATTGGTGAAATAATTATGCTTAAATTTTAATATATTTCTTTACTGCAGAGTATCTTTTTCTGGTGAATTCTGCCATAATGACAGTCTCAAAAGTCTCAAAAGTATGAGAGAAAGATGTTTTCAATTTGAAAATATTATTTTACAAAATTTTCAGTTCATTTATGCATCTCAGACTGTAGCAGACGTAAGCTCATGTCCTTCTTTCAAAACATTATCAAAAACCTCCTCACCCTACAGATTAAATGTTATCTCCCCCATCAAACTTTCTGAAGTCCCCCCAATCAGAATGAATTACTGCATCCCCACAATATATAACTCACACCCTATTAGAACATGCATTGCAACCTGCCTGGCATTAAATTTTTTCTTATCTTTCTCTACCATCACCATGTATAATATTTGAAGCATGGCTGTTCTAGTACCTTGCATAGTGCCAAGTGATTAAATAAAAATTTAATCAATATTTGCTAAATCAATTTAAATTAATTGTCTAAATATTTGAAAATGCAACATGTTCCCTTCCAAAAAAAAGATTTGCATTTACATAATTTGGCAAAAACGGTGTAAGCTCCCAGATCCACCATTTTTTACTAAATGACCACATAACACCTTAAGAAGAATCAGTTGATAGGCCAAGCTGAAACAGTAGCAGCAACGATAGCTTATGAATCTGGATATGAGCACTTCTCAAATTCCTATCCAGTGACTGGCTCGACTGTACAAGTTTAGAGGTGATGGATTTGTACAACTATAATATATCCCACATCTTGGTTCCAGAGTGTATTTCATAGCCTATATCATCTGACTTCTAGTTCTTACAATTCATTCACAAGGCTACTAAAACTGTTTCTATACTATTACTTAAGACCAAAGATTCTATATGAGGACAAAAATGAGAATAATTATACAAGACAAATCATGAAACCAATAATCTATTTTGGCATTTTATAAATTCAAAATTTCTAGTGATGATTGAAAGTAGCAAAAATTAAATGTTTATTAAAACAGTTACAGGGGAAAAACCAATTAACAAATATTGAACTCAAATTATGTTCAAGCCACCATGGGAGAATACTAAGAAACAATCCCTGCTCTCAATAAAATTTAAAATAATCCTTAATATTAAGAAATATATTAAATTTAGGACTTTTTATATTGGTTAATTCTTGGTATCTATTTACCTGCTTAATTAAAGCCTGCCTGTTTAAAGGGCTTTGTCCAGACTTGAATCCAGAAGATTCTTGGTATGGCTTTTTATCATGATTTCTTTCTTCAACCTCCTTTCTGAATTTTGAGCATCCTTTGGAAAATAATTATTTTCTGTATTTTCAGTCAGTACATTCAACATATCTTTCAGAAGTATTATCTGTGATCTCATTGTTTTAAAGCTATGCACTGGGTTTTGCAAAACTTTTGTTATTTCATTAATCTGATATTGTGTGAGAGTCTCACTGCATTCTAGAACAGTCTTTGCCATACTATTTCTATTTGCATACCTTAATATGGTAGTCTTCTCTGTATACAATACCTAAAATTTGGTTCCATATGCCACCAAAGCTGGGGCATATTATCTGAAATTAATTGAAAGAATACTCTAATAGAAAAAGGAGAAACAGAGAGAAACTCTCTGCTTTGTACTAATCATGTGAACATTTGCCTCAATCATATGTTTTGCTTTGGGTGTAAAGACAGCTTAAGAAATGATCAAAGAATACGGATCTCCAAAAGGCTCACAAAGTTCACTTTTATGTTTAGTTATAAACATGAGAATGGGCCACCTCACCATTCTTAGTAGCTCTGCCCCAATAATAACCGCAATTCTCCTTTTCTCAGAACCTGCTAAGCCACTGAAGGATTCAAACAAGGACTGTACTGAAGCTGGGTAGGCAACTGGCAGGAGCTTAGAGTATCCACAATGTCAAGAGGGTTCCAACCTGTTGACTAGACCATGGAGATCCTTAACTGTTGAAACTTCTCTACTATGGCAATCTGCAGTGCATTCATATTAAAATATGCACACTGCACTGACCAATGTGATTAGGGATACAAAAAACTTTCTTCATGTTCTTCTGCACTCCCTTTGCCCTACAGCACTCATTTTGTCAAAATGTGGATGCCATGGTGCCCAGATTATTAACCATGCCCTTAACCTTCCTGTATTGCCTCCCAAAAGTGGAATTGAACCAACCAGCCAGGGTGTGAACAAGTACAAGACATTTCTTATTCTCATCCTGCTCTCCCTTAAGGAAGTAACTCATATAAATTAAAAAAAATTTTTTTCATTTGTTATGGAATAAATTCTTACCAACTCTATATGCCTACATTTCCAAGAAAAATAAAACTAGCAACATAATGCAACTTTAGAACACATTCCAAGATTGTGAATTTGCTTGCCTAGTTACTCAAAAATATTTTAGAATCTTTTTACCACGTGTGATTTTTAGTATACTTTACCTTTCTGCCGGCGACGCCTACGAGCATTTGATCGCCCTCTTGAAACTGAGCTCTTTTCTCCACAGTTCTGTGTCTCATTCTTTCCTTCTTCAGTGCTTGTATCTTCTATCTTTCTAAGGATTATAATGTCATCTGTATTAGAAAACACATAAAAAATGAAAACAATGGAAAAAGCCGAATTACAACAGTGTGTCTCAAGTGAATAATCTATATTTACCTTATCATATTTCAGGACATTTTAAAAATCAGTAGCCCTGAAAAGTGATAACACTATAATAATAATGAACTTGTAAAACCATAACAAAGATCAAACAATGCAGACATTTTAGGATTAGTTTCCTGGAACAACAAAGAGAAAAATTCCTATTAAACATATTTATAGTAACTTGATTTATGCAAAAATAAAATACTTTCAGAGTAAAGTAGCTTAAGGGGGAAATCATTTAAATAAATGATTTTACTAAACATTATTTTAGTTTCAGAGAAATACAGAGCAATAGTGTCATCCCTGATTAAATGTAAGTAAATGTGGGCCCGGTGGCTTAGCAGTTAAGTGCCAGTGCTCCACTACTGGCAGCCCGGGTTCGGATCCCGGGCGTGCACCAATGCACCGCTTCTCCGGCCATGCTGAGGTGGCGTCCCACATACAGCAACTAGAGGGATGTGCAACTATGACATACAACTATCTACTGGGGCTTTGGGGAGAAAAAGGGAAAAAAAGGAAGAGGATTGGCAATAGATGTTAGCTCAGGGCTGACCTTCCTCACAAAAAAAAAAAAGTAAGTAAATGCTAGATCATTAGCTGCATTTATTTTCTCCAAAAATAAGAAAGGAAGCAATGATGACAGATGTTCACAAGAGATACCAAACACGCAAGGAACCAAGATTAGTGTAGCAGCAGGAAGCAATCAGACTTTACTTTGTAGTCAGGCATGTTCTTATGCACCCATGTAGAGAGCATTTACATGGCATGATTTGAAGCATGAGAGACAGGTACCACCTGCTCTAAAATATCTCTCCTAATATCTGGGATGGAAAGGTTTAAAGGTGGGATGTTCTATCAGTGGATGAAAGCTTGCTTAGGTCAAGGTATCTTTAGAAATAAGCACAAGCTAGGCATCTGGAAGGAGCTAGAGATATTAGAAGAAAGAGGGCAAGCTGAGAAGGGTGCAAAAGAGGAGGCAGTTGAATATCAAAGACTAACCACTCCTTTATTATTTTGCTTAGTACTAGTCCTGCCTCAGGTCTCCAAAAACGTGATTCTGATTTTCTTTGAAATGGCTGACATCTCCAAAGGTAAAAGTCAGGGTAAAGCTCAACAATCAATTGAGTATTATTTCTTGACAATCCCATCTTGAAAAGCTTTTTTTTTTTTTTTTAAGATTTTATTTATTTTATTTTTTTCCCCCCAAAGCCCCAGTAGATAGTTGTATGTCATAGCTGCACATCCTTCTAGTTGCTGTATGTGGGATTCGGCCTCAGGATGGACGGAGAAGTGGTGCCTCGATGCGCACCCAGGATCCGAACCCAGGCCACCAGCATTGCAGCGCACGCACTTAACCACCAAGCCACAGGGCCGGCCCTTGACAATCCCATCTTAAGCCTTTGTTCTATTTGCCTCTCAGCAGCCATTGGTTGTAAGATCTCCCACAGATATAGTCTTTAATTTTCTGTTCCTTGTATTCTTTATGTATTCCTTTTTTTGTGTGTGTGTGAGGAAGATGGGCCCTGAGCTAACATCTGCCAATCCTCCTCTTTTTGATGAGGAAGTCTGGCCCCGGGCTAACATCCATGCTCATCTTCCTCCACTTTATATGGGACGCCGCCACAGCATGGCTCAACAAGCGGTGCGTCGGTGCACGCCCGGGATCCAAACCGGCGAACCCCGGGCCGTCGCAGCGGAGTGCACGCACTTAACTGCTTGCGCCACTGGGCCGGCCCCTTTTCTTCTCAATTTTTTCTCTATTCTTTCCCCCGTAGTCTACATTTAAAGTCTGTACAAATCTCTGTACAGATTTTTTTCTTGTACAGTATAAAGGAGTGCACTAACAGAACATCAGGATACCACAGGAAGATTTTTTAATCTCCAAACCCTCCCCACCATCAGCCCTGAAACAATCACCACCCAGTTTACAGGGACCCAGTGAGAGGAGTGACTTCTTAAACAGGAGAGCAAAATTTCAGACAGGAGAAAGTGAAGAGCAAGATCCTTCCTGAGTTGCTGCCTTTCACAATGACATAAGGGAGTGCTCTGCGACCAGTCTGTCCTGTGGCACTCATACACAATTTGCAGTGACTTTTAATTTTTCCTGTCCTCAGAGTCACCAAAAATAATGGCAAGCTCTGTCTTCAAATCATATAAGGATTAAATAAAATAGAATATTTCTTGGGGCTCCTGCAGACCTGAGGTACAGTTGAGAAACATTTATCTAATGCTTTATGACAGGAATGGCTGAATGAATAGACTAAGTAGGTTAATAATAACACCTTTAAATTGAATAGTACTTTAAAGTCTGCAAAGCACTTCCACATAAAAGCTCTTGGCACAGTACCTGGCATATATGAGACACTCAATAAATGAAATGATAAATGAACACACATTTATTGAGTGTCTTGATACATGCCAGGTACTCTGCCCCCACCCTTAAAGTTCAGCAGAGATGATCCTCACTTTATAAAGAAGGAAACAGACTCAGGAAGATTATAGATAAGTCATATAATCAGGGCACAAAATTAATATGATAACAAGCTGGGACAGATTCTAAGTCCAAGATCCTTACCACTACATTACACTTCCTCCTTCAAAAGCTCAGCTGTCCCAAGAATTAGGACAGCATCACCCAGGCTAGTGACGATTCATTTGCATATGATATTCCTATTAAAATAGCATTTTCCTTTCAATTCTATTTGAAATTAATTGCACAAAGTCAAGTTTAGCATTTAAGTAGTATAACAGCAACCTCTAATCCAGTATTCAAGCATCCACTTTGCCCTGTCCTCTCGATTTCTTCATCCTAAGATTTGGTATGCAACAATTATTAGGCTTGTTCTGAACCACACGGTGCTATACAAGAAAGCTATGGCATGGCTTTAAATCCTGTTAGTGGCCTCATTTGCCCAAAAGGACTTAAGTCACTTGAAATTTCAGTCAAACCACCTGCGACTCACATAAACCTTTTCAACTCATGAATGAAATATATAAAATGGCTCCAGAAATACCTCGAGTCCTCTTCTCCCATAATCAAATCCTTCTCAGTTTACTTTTAAGCTTACACATAACATTATAAAGACTTCATTCTTAGTGTCATCTTGACAGTGCCACATTAATGTCACAGGATTTTTTGAATCCTTTCCTTTTGAATATATTACTATTTGGAAGCATTTTCCCATCTCACTCTGACCCAATCCAAATATCATATAACTCCCTAGTACTATGAATGAACAAACATCAGAGAAAGAATAGCAAATAGTAGTAGTATTACAGAAAGCAGAATGTTGTACATTCCATATAAGATGAGCTTTTTATAAAAATGTCATTCTCAAATAGGCTTTATAGAGATTGATTGTCACAGTTCACATTCAACAAGTTGGTATAAGTCTCATATCTGCTACCTGGCCAACAGCATCAAGATACTTTGACTTACAGTAGTTGTTCTAGAAGAGGGAAGACAGAAATATACTCTGGGGGCCGGCCCCGTGGCTTAGCGGTTAAGTGCGCGTGCTCCGCTGCTGGCAGCCCGGGTTCGGATCCCGGGCGCTCACCGACGCACCGCTTCTCCGGCCATGCTGAGGCCGCGTCCCACATACAGCAACTAGAAGGATGTGCAACTACGACATACAACTATCTACTGGGGCTTTGGGGGAAAAGAAATAAATAAATAAAATTATAAAAAAAAAAAAGAAATATACTCTGGTATCCATCCAAGTCTACAATAAAGAGACTCTCTGGGTCAATAATACATTATTTTCCCACTTATTTAGCCTTACTCTGAGGCTGTTCATTACCCTAGACTACAAAGGATTTTGTTATGGTGTTGACATTTAAGTTTTCTTAAAAATGGTTTCTTCTTTCACCACATTTAGACCCATAAGGGATAGCACTGGCTTCTCTTTAAACTATCAGCAGCCCTGTAATATGGGTTCAGGTTTAATGACTATACTCTCAGCCTCTATATACAATTCACTTAACTAATAGGAAATTCAATTTTATCTTTGGTATTTTTCCATTTTTGTTATATTTATCCCCAAATTGAATTTCATGTCAAGGGGTCACTTGTGCAAGGGAAGACAAGCACACCAAAGCAGAGTGCAGAAAAACAACCTATGTAATAGACAGCAGGAGTTTGTCCTGACAGTCAGTAACACAGGTAAATGAAACTCTGTTTAAAAGATGAAAAGGATATCATGGGTATATTTTAGACTTGAAAGTAATCATTCACACATTTGTTTCATTTAAACTGTCTCTTAAATCACTTTTCCTGAAATAAGACTAAAATATAATTACAAATGAGAGAACTAAGGCCCAGAGAGAGGAAGTGATATGCCCAAGGTTAGCTAATGGCAGAACTGGGATTAGAACATAAATCTCCTAACATGAAGAGTTTTGAAAGTCATGCTAAGATTTTCAAATGCTATTCTATGGTCAGTGGTTCTCTCTCCTGGCTGTTCATCAGAATTACCTGGGGAGATTTATTTTAAAACACAGAGTCCCTATCCAAGATTATGATTCAGTAAGACTGGATGTGGGATTAAGTATTTGTATTTTTTTAAAAAGTCCTCCAAGTAACTCTAATGTTTAGCCAAAATTGCAAACAACTGTTCTGAGCAACGGAGAATCTTCAAAGAGCATAGGAGTGAGATTATCAAATTGATGGTTTGGGGAAATATCAATTTGTGATTGCAGAATAGAGTGAGACTACAAAAAGAAAGACTAGTTATTTTGGGGTAAGCAGAGGGATGGCAATAGTCCAAGCATGAAGAGATAAAAGTGTATACTAGGGTGGTTTCAGGGAAAAAGTATAAGAAGAAGTAGTCCTCTCTCTATCCACCTCAGATGCAATGGGAACATTGACTACAGGGGCCTCCACAGTCTCATTCTCTTCTACCCATACCCTTACAAACACAAAGCTCTT